ACTTCGGTGAATCGCCCATATTATGCTTTGTGGGGTTTTCCCTCTCCTAGTGTGTTGTATAGGTTTTACTGCATGTAAATGGTCTACAAAGGCTACAATCCCCCCCCCCCCCCCCCCCTTTCATGAAAACCGAAAACGTTTATTTACTTTGACCTTCATCCTCTGTTGAAATCTGCTTTTCATTTCATGTTTGCTGTTTTGTTCATTAGTCATTAGTTCTTAAATAAATGTGTGAGCCTTCTGTCGTTTGTTAGTCCTGCAGACGACTCCCTCTGGTTTACATCCTTTCACAAGCTAATTCAAACTCAAAGGAGCTTTATCGGCATCAACGTTTCAAGAACAATGTTGTGTCAAAATATTTAGACATTACACAATAACAATCTACGGAGCCCTGGAGGGTTCATAGAGAGAAAAATAAATAAAACGTGGCCACGTTTTACTTTCTCGTTCGAACGAGATACCTTCTCGTGCGAACGCTTTAGTAACTCATGCGCACGAGTTACTAAAGCGTGCGCACGAGTTACTAAAGCGTGCGCACGAGTTAATAAAGCGTGGCCTCGTTTTGTGTGTGTGTGGGCATTTGTTTATGATAGTATCGTTCGTTCCGGTGCACTCCGGCAGGACTATAGCACATCGAGATTAAGATTAAACGAATTTATTTCACTTGGGAATACACTTAACTTTGGGGAACCAGATTTGTGTAAAGTAGCCTACTGTTCGTGGTAATTTGAAAACAAATGCCGGTGGTGTCGGACACAAACACACACAAACACACCGAACACGCACACACAGAGCGGAGCTGAGCACACGCACACGCACACGCACACACACACACACACACACACACACACACACACACACACACACACACACACACACACACACACACACACACACACACACACACACACACACACACACACACACACACACACATCATGCGCCCCGGTGACAGGACATCTCCTTCATAAAGCGAGGGGGGAATACTCTGGTAGTTCGATGTGTGTATAGGTGTGTGTGGTTAAGCGTAGCAGCCTCGATCTCTATTCAGCGGTTCTAATGAAGGGAAACGCAGTGAAGTAAACAGTAAAAGGCACAGCTCTTTGCAGCTGGTGCTGCTCTTCTCAGATTCTGCTGAGTTACACGTTACTGCCTCCAGTGCCCTGTACGACGAAGCCAGTTCAACAGACCCTGGATATGTTTGATTTACCCGGTTAAACTAACCCTAACAAACGCGATGTCGCTAAGCGGTCCTACGAAGCTGGTTATCAACTCAGCAAATCAACCAGGGGTTCTCTGTCCGGCTGAGAGCGCGTTCATGTGAAAGCGACGGGGTTACCAACATTTGACCAATCACAAACATGGAGACGCGTGCTGACAGCGCAGCGTCATACTTCATGAATGAATAGTGTAAATAGCAAATCCTGCTTGTAGTTCAGGCCACTGGTGATCACAGAGATTTCATAAAGTGAAGGAGGTTTTCCTTCTATAAAACAGCTGTGGGCAGCAGACACTGTGAGTCACGGACAGGAATCCCTCAATTTAAATAAAACGAGGCCACGCTTTATTAACTCGTGCGAACGAGAAAGTAAAACGTGGGCCCGTTTTATTTATTTTTCTCTCAATGAACCCTCCAGGGCTCCGTAACAATCAAATTAACATGAACATAATATTAACATTGATTTATACACGTGTGTTTGGGTGGGGGTGTAAAGCTGTACCGAATAAAGTGTGTCTTACAATCAAAGTTTCTATAAGCCTTGGGTGTTTGGTGTTATATTTGAGGACGTCGTCACCCTTTTATAGACTTTAAAACATATTTTAAAATAAATATCTTATCCTTTTTTATAGTGTGCATGTTTGTTGCTAGCTTAGCTTAGCATAATTGCTGTAAACATTGGGAAACTGCTAGCATGGATCTTTCCAAAGATAACAGGGATCTTTAAGGCTCACAAATGAACAGTTTATGTGTTTAATAATTACAAAACCCCAACGGCGAAAAGGCGGGTTATGGTTTTAGCGAGGGTTATGTCAGATTATTTTTGAGCTCTGAGCATTCGGCCGCCAACCAGCAGACTTCAGGAAGTCACTGTGCCTGGCTAAGAAATAAAAACCTCCGACATCAAAAGTCTAATTGACACTTTTAGGTGTTTTTCTCAATCATTTAATGATCTAGATGTGCTAAGTGGACTTGAGCCTGTTTATCTTCCTAATATTGGGCAGCAGCAATGTCATACACAAACTGTATGTTCCAAGTGTGTATTTATCTGTTTGCAGAGGTGGGTGAAGTACTGCGTTACTGTATTTAAGTACATTTGTCTGGTATCAGTACTTTACTCCACTACTTATTTTTCTGACGACTTTTTACTTTTACTTCTTACATTTTGAACACAAATAGCCTACCTGTACTTTCTACTTCTTACATTTTCAAAACAGGCTGGTTCCTTTAGTCTGAATGTGTGTTTGGTGCGTGATAATTATTATTTAGAGTCATTGCGTGCCTATTGATTTGAACACGATCCGTGTATCCATCATTTCCTGGTCTTCTCTAAAGAAGAGGGACCAATGGAAACGTTGCCGTTGTTCAGCATGGAAACATTCATTAGCTAACAATGACATTATTGTTCTATTAATATAAAGGGAGGTCAGGTACTCTTTAAAACAGCTGCTAGTTATGGGTACTTTCTACTGAAGTACATTTCAAAGCCCATACTTCTTTACACTTTACTTGAGTAAAGAGGTCAGTACTTCTACTTTTACTAGAGTATTTTTAAACACGAGTATCTGTAGGCTATACTTCTACTTGAGTAAAGGATGTGTGTACTTTGGCTGTATTTTTCAGATCAGAAAATACATCTCCAACCCTTCAAGAGTTCAATTTGAGCAAAAAGGGACCTGATCGTTTCCTGTGTTTTGTTGCTCCTTTGTGTTTTGACCAGATGATCCCTGCTGTCACGGAGGAGGTCCATGAAAGATGGATTTTCTCCTGCACTCACTGCAGCTTTTTGTTGATGTTTTCATTTACTGAACAGACAGCAGCGTCCTCGCCCCCTGCTCGGCACTTTAATCCAGGTAGAACGAATAGAGGGATTAGAAAAGATGAGACATGATGGAAGAGGGTCACAGCGTTCGGCAGGATGTTGTCAGGTGGAGAGAGGTGAAAGGAGGAAAGCTTTAATCAGAACAGCCTCTTCTTCTCTTCCTGGAACATGACGCTGATTTCTGCGGAGGGAAGGTGAGACCGAAAAAAACCCTCTGAGTGCAACACCTGCTGTTTATCCTCCTGTTTCAGCCACTCTGTGTCTCCAGCTCTGCTGCGTTGTTCATGGTACACACAGCCTCATAAAAGGTACATCTGAGCTATTCTATGGTAAAGTGTGACATTAAATTGTCATATAAAGTGATAGTGTAATGTTATAATAAATATGTCAAAGAATAGTATGCCTTAAAGGTTATCAAAATATCCTAGTATGGTAAAAGATATAAAACAATGATGAAATAGGTCAGAGTAAGGTATGTGAAGAAGTCACACAAAAGGCCAGATTAAAGTTTGTCATTGAAACATTTCATAGAATTTCATAAATTCTCATAGTATAGTATATATTGTAGAAAATAAGTCATAGTAAGTTATGTGAAAATTCTAGTTTCCAGATGTTTCGACACTGCATCTCTTTGGCTTGTATCTGTACTCTGCAATCACAATAAAGTTTAATTTAAAGAGAAAATGCTCCAATGAGCCGTTTAACTTGAGGTGTGCATTATGTTGAGAATACAGGTAGTTTTTAACCCTCTAAATAGTGCACCAACTTGCCAGTCAAAATAAAAAAGTAAACCCTCAGATTTCAACAGTAAGTTAAAGGTCACCTATTATGCAAAATCCACCTTTTCATGTCTTTTATACATCAACATGTTTCAGGAACAAAGATTCTCTTACTTTTTGTCCTGATCCATTTATATAAAAACTGTCTGAAAATGCACTGACCAGATTTTGGCCACTTTATTTATCAAGGTTTTTGACAGAAAGCCAAATTCATACCACAATTTTAAGTCTTTTAAAAGTATGTGTTTTTTTATAAATGTTTACCGTCCCCCCCCCCCGTCCCTTAGGGGAATTCATCCACAAAAACACACTGGACGCTGCACTAGATCAGAAACCAGAGGAGACTGTGAAGTCCACCGCAGACGGACCACTTTTGGACAAAATGTCCTCTCCATTAAAGGCAGCTCTTTCTGGAATAGCCTCCCAACTGAGATACGGGATTGTCCCACTCTCAATAGCTTCAAAGGTCACCTCAAAGAATGGTTGAGAAACAAACAGATGTGCAATCACCGCTACATGCACTTTAACACAGGGGCATCTCCTCTTGCACTTTATATGTTGTAGCTGCTACATTGTACTGCCATGTGGTTAATGCTTGTTTGTGCTGCTCTTGCCCTTTCTGCATATCATGTATTTATTTTTGCTATAAATGTCATGTTCGTAAATGTTGTATGTGAGGGACTACGGATGGGAATTAGCTAAAAGCTCAAATCCGGCATATTTACATTTTGAAGCCTTAATTATTAAAAATGTTCATCATGTGCATTGTCCCTCTTCAAATAAACGATTAAATGATGTCATAACGATTGTTTGGCTTGTGTAACCATTAGCCAATCAGCAACAAGGTAACCCCCCCCCCTTATCACCTGAATCTCCTCCTAGAGCACCATTGTGTTCTTTGTAACCAAATCTCTCTCAGAGGGGCGTGGGGAGTGGCCCCTTATTTTCATCTAAAGTAACAGACAGAGAATCAGCACTTTTGAAACAGGGCTGAAACAGAGGGGATTATGGGTAATGCTGCAATGATCTGTTTGGTGTTTGGAGCCAAACACTTCAGAGACATGTTCTGTATATATCTGAGAGCTGTTATATATTGAAAAAAAAACATGGATTTTGCCTCAAATAAACAAACTATTTGCTCCAAGAACAAAAAGAGACTTCACATAAACTGAGAAACAGATTTACAGAAGAAAAAAGTAATTTTAATAAGTGTGTATATGCATATATATTAAAAAAATCAGCATTGTACAGTAAATCTGTTATCCAACCCCATCCGATCACTTTGAAATCATAAAATATATATATATATATATACATTTGCAGGAAGTCAAAGATTGGCTCAACATTTAATAACATCTGAAATAATCACAGTTCACTGGTTGTCTTTGTAACTGAAAGTCCAGAGTTGTATTTAGGACCTTTTTCACAACTCATTGTCAAATCCAGTCTTTAAATCTTTATCGTTGTAAAAGCACGAGGTGAGAACAATCACTTTACGTGGATTCATCTCACCTCCCTATCATGTATTATAGAAAAACAAGATTTAAAGTTGATTAATGTTTTCTAAATCTACTTCATTCTCTTTACAGAAGAAGGACACCATCTGAAATGTCTCCTCGCTGGATGATGAGTCTTTAAAAATCCAACAACATGTGAATTGAAATCTAAGAAGCCTTTTCCGTAGGGATAATGTCTGTGACTTGTGTCATGATGATTGAGGGACTGAATGAGAGATTCCTCCCAACAGAGAAACACACATTTGTTGTGATAGTGTTCAATCTTTGGGTGGCAGACAGCCGGGGTTCGCTTCGGTATGACCGATTCAACATTTAGACACTTAGAGGAATGTTTAAAAAGTTCAGTTGATTTGCAATGATGAGGTAAACCCACCAGTCCCATCACAAACTACATGTGCTTTGTGAGAACACCAAGTGAAAAAGAGACACATTTATAAAAACATAATCAGTTTAAATCCTATTCTGCTTATTACAGGTTCATATTTGTACTGTGTGCCTCTGTGATGTTTACACGCTTTAATGTTTCAAAAGGTCTTTTTTTGTACCTCTTTTCACCCTCCGTCTGAAACCAGAGCCCAGTCTGCTCTGATTGGTTAGCTGGATGGCTCTGTTGTGATTGTGAAAACCCTTTGAATGCACAAAAACAAATATAACACCCTACAGGAAGGGCAAACCCCCACAAGAGCAAAATAGGACCCCTTTAAAACACAGGCATAAACAAATGTGAAACTCCATTGACAAGAAGAGGAGACAAATCAGTACCCTTTAAAAGTGAACATCAGAGGAAGCCGAGCAGATGAGATTAGCCAGCGTTTCAGAAAGGAATAACATTGTGGGGCAAAAACATGAGACAATTGTTTGAGAACACAAAGTTGTAATAAAGTGAACGATACGATACGTTCCCAGAGACCCTGGTGATTAATCATAATTTTGTGCAAACCAAAAGTCCAAAAAGTGTTCAAAATGTGCCGATCCAAAACAAAAAAAAAGCAGCATGATATTTGAGAAACTGAAAGAAATCATTGACGATCCGTTGATTGAGCATTCGATTCATTGTTTCAGTGCTACGTTTAGAAACCTTAGTGACAAAAAGGTGGGTAAACCAAGTGCCTTCAAGACACACCATAACGTGGGAAATTACAAACTTCCTGCAAGAAAACATGTCTGGATTTGAAGCGTTTGGTGATATTTAGAGAAAGAGTTGGAAGGGAAGAGGGATACCACGTTCCTATTTGTGCATTAACATAGAAGGTAAGAACCTATCAGCTCCTTCAAAGCTCACAAACGTACAGCTTGTTTGTTTAATTCGTACAAACTAAATGTAAGACGTTTTTTCATTTATTTGTATTTATTTAGCAAACAACTATGAGAGTGTTGTCGACCGTCTTATTTAATGAAAGGCAAGTAAGCCAATAGGTAATGTAGAGTATTCCTTTGAGTTGCTATTTGCTGTGATATAAAGTTGATTTGATGTGACCTAGCTGAGCTTCAATAGACAGAGAGTTTCTCTCCTCTGGGTTTTTACTGATTGTGACTGCAGGACAACGCAGAGGTGGTTTTTAACAACGGTGTTTTCCAGCTTCAGCCTGAGAGAAACTGGAGGAGACGATGTGGAAATCCAGACCGACGTCATCTCACTGCAGCATTTGAAAAAGTCTGATACGACCGCGCGATGGAAAACGCTTTGAGGCTTCACATGATACTTCATATTGCGGGAAGTTTGAGCAAAAAGCAGTCTTGGTGTAAGGCATAATCCAGAAACCAGATCCACGAATAGTCTGTGTAGAGAGAGAGAGACCGCTCCGCCGACCACAGGCTTCTAAATCTGTCCTTTTGGCAGAAAAGGAGAGTTTCCCAACAAAGGGTCAGAGCCTTCAGAGGGTCAGAGCCTTCAGAGGGTCAGAGCCTTCAGGAGGTCAAGAGTTCAGACCACACCGTGAACCTGAAGGTTTCCACTTTACGAACTGAAAACGTGTCGTTACCGGAGGGTCGAATCGATCCCCTGTCACAGACTGGAGGAGTGGGAGGGGTGGTACGGTCCGTTCACCTGAGAGAGAGGAGAGAGAGAGAGAGAGAGAGAGAGAGAGAGAGAGAGAGTTAATACAGAGTTATTTAAATGGTAAAACCCACAAATGGTCAATATGGAGAATAGAATATATCTTTATTTGTCATCATACAAAGTACAACATATATTGCATATTTACACAATTTTGGTGTTCTAATAGATAGTGAGGTGGGCTGATGATCGGAAAGGTTGCGAGTTCAAATCCCGCCTGGAACACTACTACTAGTATGCCCTTGATTAAGACACTTAGTCCTCAGCTACTCCAGGGAGAATGTCCCTGTAATTGGTCATTGTAAGTCGCTTTGGAATAAGGCGTCTGCTAAATGCCTAAATTATAAATTCTATTTTTGGGAGAATAAACCCCACAGATCCTCAACTCCGGTGTGTCTCACTCTTTAACAACGCAACGCAGAGCAACAAGAACTTTGTCTACAGCAGCCATGAACTCGCATGCATCTTCTTATTTGAGGGGGGGTGGATGCGAGGGCCACCCAAATAGGCACCATTGGCTTTTCTTGCCGGGGGGGGAACACTGTAGCCATAAGTATGTCTAAATAGTAGTGCTTGAGGTAGAACTGTTTCAATATTATTTGTGGGAACAGATTAATAATCCATGTGTAAATGTGTATTCTGTAAAGGTTCAAATAACATCCACAAATAGAAAAAAGATTTGTAAACTCCCCAAAAACTGTTGCAAATATAAAATGGATCTGAAAATATACAAAAAAATTCCACAAAACTAAAACTGTGAATACATTAAATAGAATTACAAGTAAAAAATATGTATGAATATCTTTCAAACGTTTTCACTTTTGATCAGCTTTTGTAGATCAAGCTTATATTAGTGGTTGTGAGCATTTTAATTTGTCACACTGATGACATGATTTCCACATTTATAAGTAGGAGCATGCAGTCTGTGTACAATATTGGAAACTGAACTTGTTAAATGAAGCTCCTCTGTTACCAATTGCAGCAATAACGTAACATTTTATTGCATGCCTTTTAATGTTGTCTTTATATAAATATATTTGGGTGTGTCAGGTCGAATAAGGTCGACATTTGAGAAACTCCTCTCCTTATTGTGGCGTGTGACAGAAAACGGCAGATGCCTCAGCAAGTAGTGGCATCTATGGCAGATGCCGGAAGTACTTGCCACTGCCTACAGATGCCACGAAATGAGCCAGGCCCTACTGCAGAAAACAGTGACTGAGACCGAGTGGTGCAGAGGGACACATCCTTATTGAAAGTGTTGAAAGGAAGGAATTTCCTCAAGTTTTTGGCAGAAAACCCAGCGGTTTATCATGAGAGGACACAAAATGTCTCCTTTTCAGGGGCGGTTCTAGGGGGGGGGGGGCAGTGCCCCCCTAACACTGACCTCTGACCCCCCTGTGGCCCCCCTAACAATGAAAAGGTTTTTTTATTAAATGTATATTTTCTGGTACTCGGTTTCCCAAAAAACGCAGGATTTTGTTGCTGTAATGTGAGATTGTGCAGACACCCTTATGTAAAGTAGAGATGTAACTGTTCATTGCCTTTATTTTTATATAAATATGGTGTTAGTGCAAACATTGCACTATAACTTAAGCTGAAGCTAACAGTAATAACTATAAGATCTATCTGAAATAAATAAGTGTACTGAAACAAATACCAATAACTGGATTGCATTGTTTTCTTATGCGCAATTACTTCATACTGTCTAGTTCTCTTTTTCGTCCTGCATTTATTGTGCCCCCCTCAGAAAATAACTGGCCCCCCAGTGGCCCCCCCCAGTCAAATTGGTCTAGAACCACCACTGCTCCTGTTCCCCGTGCAAATTAACTTCCTCTTCACCGTCAGAACCCTGATGCTGTGCCAAGGCAGACGCCAGAGAAATGCTCCACGAGAAACAGTTCTATCGAACTAACGGAGCGAGAGCTGGGCGGGTTTTTCTCTCCGAGGAAACAAAGAGCTCCTCAGTGAAGTGGAGCGGGTTGTTTCTGTACTTCATGTTCAGGGCAGCTCTCCAGGTAAACTATACTTAGCTCACCTGTTGCTCTCTCACGCTGCTTATCGGTGTCACTGATAGAGTGTTATATCAGATAGAGTGTTATATCATCGTGAAATACCATGGGACACGGTGTGTGTGTGTGTGTGTGTGTGTGTGTGTGTGTGTGTGTGTGTGTGTGTGGTGTGTGTGTGTGTGTGTGTGTTGGAGAGTGACCGGTAATACACTTTGTCCTAAAAATACATGTTCTTTCCGCTCTTTAAGAAGTTTTTATCCTGCATGAATGATTGTTTTTAGGTACAACAAAACATGGACATATCCTCACCTGTTTTCTTTATATAGCTTTATTGTTAACAGTTATTTATTATTATTATCAGGGATCTTATTATTAAACAGAAGACCTTTGAAACACAAATGCATAATCAAATTAAGATTTTTTTTTTAATCAAACCTGATGATGAATTTAAATCACATTAAAAGTCATTCTAAAAAGTGCTTTTCTCAGGAGATTGTAGAGACGAAAATCAGAGGAAAATGTCACTGCTAGCCTGTAAATATGTCTTTTCGGTTTCGTGCAAATCAGGCAGTGGATTGTTAGCTGCCTGCTGCAACCAAAACACATCATGTGAAGTAAACAGTTAAGAGTGACAGAAACAAAATGAGCTCCACTCACTACAAAGCTCTGGAAAGCCAATATAAATAAAAATATTCTTCTAATTCTTATTGTCTCCGGTGAATAATGATCTGTGCTCACAGCTTGTATATGAAGTGGTGTCTGTTTCTCGTACACTTTTAGCGAACAAAAGGAATCGTTGCTTGGCAGAAACGTAATTCAACCCAGCAGAGCAAACTATTTCTGAGTAACAGAAACACACTCGAGTGTTGAGAGGAACTTTATTGCCCCGTTCCCTTTCTGGCTGCAGGCCTGAAAAACAGGGAAATGCTCCGGACTAAAGCCTTCAGGGAGGCCGGCGCTTTATGTTCACTTTCTCTCCGTTTATTTCCCGGCAGGAGACTGAGAACGACCCAGAGCCGTGGAGGACAACTAAGCAGTGAGAATGATTAAAGACTGATCGGTGTAACAAATAAAGTAGCATGTCACCTTGTTCCTACTTCCCGTAACAGATAAATGTTCATAATATATTGTGAAATAATCTATTATTAAACCCCTAAAATGTGCAGTCGGTAAGCATTAGGATTCCATCCATCCATCTTCTCCCGCTTATCCGTGGTCGGGTCGCGGGGGTAGCAGTTCCAGCAGAGAGCCCCAAACTTTCTTTTCCCTGGCGACATCAACCAGCTCTGACTGGGGGATCCCAAGGCGCTCCCAGGCCAGCGAAGAGATATAATCCCTCCACCTGGTCCTAGGTCTACCCCTTGGTCTCTTCCCAGCTGGACGTGCCTGGAACACCTCCCTAGGGAGGCGCCCAGGTGGCATCCTAACTAGGTGCCCGAACCACCTCAACTGGCTCCTTTCGACGCGAAGGAGGAGCGGCTCAACTCCGAGTCCCTCCCTGATGACCGAACTTCTCACCTTATCCCTAAGGGAGACACCAGCCACCCTGCGGAGAAAACCCATCTCGGCCGCTTGTATCCGCATTAGGATTGTCTTGTTGAATTCGACTTAAGTACGTGATTAAATGTACTTAGTTACCACTGTTTATATATTTAATCTTATACTTAAATAATAACCAAACTAAGACCCATCTATTTATTTTTATTTTATTCATTGTTATTTTATAATTGTATTCTTGTTTTATTGACTTGTTAGTATTAAGTGTTATTTTACTGATGTAATATTTAAAAGTTATGTGTGAATCTGTTTATTAACTTGGAAGTGGAGTTGTTTTGTGTTTTTTGAAGCAGTTTGTGTTAGCTTATGTGTACGTAAAGTGCTATTTAAATAAAGTTTTGATTCGATCAACCAACAATAAGTACATATACAACTGCAAAGTCAAAATATATAGAATCAGAAACTCAGATCGCCAATCACAGATCACGACGTATAAAAACATGATCACAAAAACATTTTAAAAAGTTTTAAAAAGGTCACTCTTACCAGGCGTATTTAAGAACAGAGTGACTTCCTCTCGCAGCCCTAAAGCCTCGTTAGATCAAAGCTTTTGATACTTATGACTTCATTCAATTATCTTCACATCAGACCCTATATTTCAAAGGGGAACTCAACACAGAGCATCCTGGGAAATCTCACTTTATATGAGTTTGTTGCTGATTTATAGGTTTCATTTCCTAAAATGTACACACACACAACAAACAGGTCATCAGCTGATTGTTCCTCCATTATTCTCTGGATCACATCAGCAGTAAGGAAGGCATCAGATGACCGAAAGAGATGAAGGAGAGCTGATTAATAGAGCTGGGAATACAACACACTAGGGTGTAAAGTTCAAGCTCTTCATTGTTTAGGATTTGGCTGACAAGGACGAGGGGAAGTCTGCAGGAGTGTTCTGTTTCCAACACAGTAAGACGGAGAGCGGATAAAGCATGTTTTGACTCCTGCTAATTCTAAAGACTGATTGGAAACACAAAGAGAGAGCTGCACACAGATAGACTAATAAAAGGAAGTAAAAGTTACGAGTAAAAGGAAGTTGTTCACCGACACCAAGGGTGTTTCTCAATCTCGAGTACGCTTGCTTGGTAGCATGTCTTCCGAGTCACTTGCTTCAGAAGCGAGGCAAGAATACTTCCTGGCATTCGGAAACGAAGAGTGGAACAGGCGAGCAAGTTTTGCAAAATTCCACAAAACTAAAAGCTGTGAATACATTAAATAGAATTACAAGTAAAAATATTTATGAATATCTTTCAAGCGTTTTCACTTTTGATCAGCTTTTGTAGATCAAGCTTATATTAGTGGTTGTGAGCATTTGAATTTGTCACACTGATGACATGATTTCCACATTTATAAGTAGGAGCATGCAGTCTGTGTACAATATTGGAAACTGAGCTTGTTAAGGCTGGCGTCACACTGTCCTGAAATGTTCACCAGATAGACACACGAATATGGAATTGTGAATTTTGCACAAAGAAGGCCCCGAACTTGGTCAATAGCCAAGCAATAGCCAAAGCAAGTACGATGGCACCCGAACCACACACTCCGTCATGTTGTTGCTATGGAAACAACATGAGAGGCCCCACCTTACATTTGCCGCCACAGATTTTGGGAAATTGGTCCGTGCGCAAAGCATTGTGGGGATTTTAAGACCGGAGTCTACACATGTGCAGGCTCGAAATGTCTCCAAACGAAGTACGCCGGGGTCGGTAGAATTCCAAGTATGCTGGACATTGGAACAGTCCTTCGGCGGCACTCGACGTAGTATGCTTGAAATAGTGGCTCTGGAGCAGCTTTCCTCGACATTGAGAAACACCCCAAGTCTTGGAAACCAGAGCTCTTTAAAAGCGGAAATATGCATATTTTTCAAGTCAAAGACAGGAGAGCAAACCAGGAAAACGTTTCTTACAAATGCAAGATGTATTCCAGATATTTTTCCAGATACAAAGCTCAATTGCATGCTTCAACACCTTTTGGAAAGGACTTGGAGTTTTCTAATGATTTCATAAAGTAGTTTAGACTACAGTCATAGAAAATAGTGAGAGGGTTACAGATCAGGTGTTTCAAAGTCTGAGACTGAGCCTTAAAAAAACCTTCAAAAAGGCTTCTCATTAACCTCCTAAGTTTACCTTCTTTGTTTTTCGCGTAGTTCCTTGATCATGCTTATGTTATCTGATCTTAAATATTTACACTTGAGCTGAAATAGACTAATATTGCCTTTGGACAAAACTTCATACATGATAATACATTTGTTCCCAAGGCATTCATTATACCGATATTTCCAACAAAATAACACGGTTTTTAACACGGGAAAACCCACAGAAATAGGCGATCCTTTCCCATCGCTAAAGACCAGTGTGCCTTTTTAGTCTGGTGTGTTTTTTTGTTTCTATCTTTGGTCTGGTTGCTTTGAAAGAGAGAATATTGATTGTGAGTGTTGTCCAGAAACGGACATGAATATTAATTGTCCAAACCCCTGTTTATATCATTAATTATATATATATATATTCCTCTGCGATGCACGTCACATATCATTTGCACAGGAAAAAGGCAGAAAGTTAAAGAGCCGGGTGTCGTGTTTCCATCACACCTTCAACCTGTTCTATGTGAGCTTCTTCTGTTATTTAATGTCATATTTTAGCGCTCCTTAAAGTGTCTGAAAACCTCTGTTATAGAATACGTGTCAACGACATCTCTGTGTGCATCTGTGTGTGCATTATTGATGAAAGTGTGTGTGTGTGTGTGTGTTTGTGCGTGTGCGCTGCCTACCCGTGCGTCATAGTCCAGGACGAAGGGAGGGATGTCGATCTGCTCCGGTTTGATGCAGGTGAAGAGCTGCTGCAAGGTGTCTAGGTAGCGAACTTTGTCCTTCAGCCCCGACACGCTGAAGGTGGTGAAGAACCACGTGGAGACCTGGGGAAAAAGACGGAAGAGGCATGAAATACGAAGGGGACATTTCATGCGTCACAGATGCCATATGTTCTTGATTTACCAAGAAACTAATCTTGCTTAAAAGGTCCCCTAATCTACTGTTTTTCATCAATATATTACAGGTCTCAGATATATACAAAACATGTCTCTGAAGTGTTTGGCTCGAAATACCAAACAGATCATTGTAGCATCCCATAATCCCCTCTGTTTCAGCCCTGATTCTCTTGCCCCTTTCACACCAAGACTTTTCCCGTTCTAGCTCCGTGCTAGAGCTTTTCTGGTTCGGATCCGGTTCTTCGGTTCAGCTCCCGCTCTGTTCACACCGCTCAGAGCCCGACTGGTGCTGCGTCATTGCGTCATCGTTTGCGTCATGACGTAACCGTTTGCGTGCCTGCTTCATAAAGCCAAACCGATTGTATTGAAGCGCTACTCGTTTTGGTTTTGCTCTGTCGAAACGAAATGGAAGAAATGGGACGACTTTACTACCCACTTTACAGTCGTTACATGCTACATTCAAAAGTTCTTTACAATCATCATCATCATCAACGACGATTCGGTAGGAGAAAGAAGGTAAATATACGTCCTATTCGATGGCGTTAGAGCTAGCTGTTGTTCGCCTCTGCATGCGCCAAGCTCAAAATACCCAGCTTTGCAGCATTAATTACTATGGTATAACATTAAAACTGATTCTCAATGTTATTTCCACAGATCATGTTGCAGCTGGCGGAAAGGCGGATGTCGCGTGTTATTTGGACAGAGCCCAGATCCGACGTAAGCGTGACGTATGCGGTGCTTGCTTTCTAGACCGACAACTTTTTGGTGCTTGAAACAAACCGGATTCCGGAGCTTAGAGGCGGCTCCGCTGCGGTGTGAACAGGAAAAACCGGTGCTTTTCAAGCTCCAGCTCCGAACCGGCCCTGGAACCGCGTTGGTGTGAAAGGGGCAACAGTCTGTTACTTTAGATGAAAATAAGGAGCCACTCCCCACGCCCCTCTGAGAGAGATTTGGTTAGAAAGAACACAATGGTGCTCTAGGAGGAGATTCAGGTGATACGGTGGGGGGGGGTTACCTTGGTTGCTGATTGGCTAATGGTTACACAAGACAAAACATCGTTATGACATCATAAAGGGGCCAAAATCTGATCAGTTCATTTTCAGACAGGTTTTTATTAATGATGTCAAAATTATCGCGGTAATTAATTTTTTTAATGAATTGCATTAAAATATTTGCGCATTTAACGCATGTGCAGAATGGCCCGCCCCATACATCCCACCAGTGGCAGTGGCTGGGTTAGGCTACACCCATACCAAGAAATGGCTTAGCCCCACCATGAAAAATGATGTTAAAGTAATCAAAATAAAGTCCGCCAACTCGCGGAGTAAATTGCACAGACAGCAGTTAATAAGATTGATTTCAGTAGCCACTTGTCTGGAAATACCGAAGACCAGAAACGGTTTTGAAAACTTTTGTCACGTAGTGATCATCTTCTCAATAGAACATCTTTGATAATGTCTTCTGGCCAATCAGAATCAAGATAACGGCGTGGTGTTGTTGCAGGAAGTCCCGACGGAGAATACTTTTGCTGTAGTACAGGGGTGCACTAACTGGTACGCAGGTTATGTGCGTAATCTGAAATGCGTACCGTCCGTCACTTGTGTCACAAAGCGCCACAAAGCGCATTTAGGTACCGATATACTTGTGAAGCTTTTCCAGAAGGCGGTTAGATCACCGGACGACAGAGTCGGTCTCCGTGGGCACAGACAGGCTGCTGTTAACGTCGGTCTGTACAACGGAATTGTGCCAAAACTACGCCAACCGGCTGCGGAGGGAGACTCCCCCCCTTCACTGGAGAACTGCGCTAAAACAGCTGATCACAACGTTCACACTCTGTGGTCATGAAGTACTCCACTAGCGCGCCCCCCCCCCCCGTCGACTTTCCTGAAGTACTCCTCCGTTGATAGAAATCAACACGTAATGAATTAAGACCCCACGGTTTGATGATTGATAGGTGCTCTCTTTCATTTTGACACACAGAAAAATGTTACAATAAACATGTTAAATGGATATATCCGCCTTCTTTCATTTATCTTTCCATTCCCACAACAATATACATAAAAAAATGACATATTTTGGACATAGTTCGAATGGTGATTAATCATGATTAATTAATTTGTAAACTGTGATTAATCTGATTAAAAATTGTAATCGTTTGACAGCCCTAGTTTTTATAGAAATGGATCAGGACAAAAAGAGAGAGAATCTTTTTTCTTGAAACTTTCAGAATCTCTTTCCACAGAGGGGACACATGTTGATGTAGAAGAGACATGAAGAAGAGGGGACACATGTTGATGTAGAAGAGACATGAAGAAGAGGGGACACATGGTGATGTAGAAGAGACATGAAGAAGAGGGGACACATGGTGATGTAGAAGAGACATGAAGAAGAGGGGACACATGTTGATGTAGAAGAGACATGAAGAAGAGGGGACACATGGTGATGTAGAAGAGACATGAAGAAGAGGGGACACATGTTGATGTAGAAGAGACATGAAGAAGAGGGGACACATGTTGATGTAGAAGAGACATGAAGAAGAGGGGACACATGGTGATGTAGAAGAGACATGAAGAAGAGGGGGACACATGTTGATGTAGAAGAGACATGAAGAAGGGGACACATGTTGATGTAGAAGAGACATGAAGAAGAGGGGACACATGTTGATGTAGAAGAGACATGAAGAAGAGGGGACACATGTTGATGTAGAAGAGACATGAAGAAGAGGGGACACATGTTGATGTAGAAGAGACATGAGAAGAGGGGACACATGTTGATGTAGAAGAGACATGAAGAAGAGGGGACACATGGTTGATGTAGAAGAGACATGAAGAAGAGGGGACACATGTTGATGTAGAAGAGACATGAAGAAGAGGGGACACATGTGATGTAGAAGAGACATGAAGAAGAGGGGACACATGGTGATGTAGAAGAGACATGAAGAAGAGGGGACACATGTTGATGTAGAAGAGACATGAAGAAGAGGGGACACATGTTGATGTAGAAGAGACATGAAGAAGAGGGGACACATGTTGATGTAGAAGAGACATGAAGAAGAGGGGACACATGTTGATGTAGAGGAGACATGAAGAAGAGGGGACACATGTTGATGTAGAAGAGACGTGAAGAAGAGGGGACACATGTTGATGTATAAAAGATGTGAACAAGTGGATTTTGCATAATAGGTGACCTTTAAGACAAAAACAAGAGTAGACAAGAGAAAAAAGACAAGAGAACATTTGAAAAGCCAACAACAGAACTAGATTAAGTTGAATGAACTTTTAATGATCCTAAAAGAGATGTTTAGCAAGTGCAGGAAAAAGTACAGCATTTCTTGTAAACGGCAAAAAAACGGAATAAACCAGGCGACTAAAGGAGCTCATATCTCCGCCAAGGCTTCACAATTATCTAAAAATCTCCATAAGAAAAATAATCATGTTTAATACGAGTAAAATATTTAGAGGTTATTATTTCTGGACCATGTTACGTTTCGGTGGACGTGCGGCGAATAATGATCCAGATTTTTGGAAGAACCTTTATCTTGGGAATGTTTGGGGTTAGTCCAACGACTAATTATTATAAATGTTCTTGGGAGGCAGACACATGAGCACAGAGTTATTTTAAATAATCATGTTGCTGGGTTAGTTTTAAAGGGTTGCTGTTTTTATGAAATTGCACAATGCTTTCACTGAAGGAGTCATGGCAGCAAAAGTTAGGTTATTTTAGTTTGAAGAGGCCCAATTATGCTTTTTTAAGTGTTTTCTCTTTCCTGTTGTGTTATAGGTTATTGTGAATGTAAATGGTCTGTAGAGGCTAACATTCCCTCCTGATTGAGCTTCTGTCTGATAAGCCTCCATTGGACTAATTTGTTTACTTCAGTAAAATAGTGACGTCACTAAGTAACACTCACGCTTCTATTGGCTAGCGCTCCAACACATTAATAATAATAATAATAATAAATTCAATTTAGTTAGTGCTTCTCATCTGCCAAGACAAATCCCGAAGCGCTTCACAACAGACGACACTGATAACATTGTACGTGATAGGCTAAGGGGCGGGACATCTCTTAGCGGTTGACCAATCACAACAGTGTCGGCCAGCTAACCAATCAGAGCAGACTGGGCTCTGGTTTCAGACAGAGGGTGAAAAGAGGGGCTGCAGCACAGGCAGTATGAGAAGAATAAAGAGCTTTTTGAACATTAAAGCATGGAGACATGTCACAGTAGAGCATAATGTCCTCTTTAAAGTCAACCAAATGTAAAAAGATTGATTAAAATGTGTTATAATAGTGAAAGGTTTTGCAAATCAGAGTAAAAAGCAATATAAGAAACTATTCTGACATTATGAGCCAAAACATATAGTGAATAATTCAGTTCAACTGAATGAAAATAAACAGAACAGCAATAACACTATCACCAACAATAATACTTTCAACACTACTAGTTTACTTTTAATATCTTGTACTGACACACAAATATATACAGTGATTGTATCCCAGTGTTTCCCCTAGGTTTACTGCTTTGGGGGGGTGCCGCCTGAGGGGGGGGGGGGAATTGGGATATATATTTTTTAAATCCTCTGGAGCAGAGAGAGGATCTGTGGACTATTGTTATTGATTAATGCATCCGTGTTTCTTAGGGTCAAAAACACTAAACTCACAACTTCAAATGTTTAGTTTATTTAAGAGCTCATGTTCAATGTGAAAAGTGACAGTCGAAATAGATTAGTTGCAATTTGGTGATATATATATATACAAAAAAAATAATACAACATTTTTTTTTGCTTTGGATAAAAGTGTCTAACTCATGACATGTAATAATAATAATCAACACATGACAGGACGTTACCTTAGAGCGAAATGTTGGATGTACAAAGTAGAAGGCCTTCAAATTCTTCTTAAACCTGCAAGGAAAATAAATGACAAAGACATTTTAAGAAGTGTATGAAATGCCTCAAGTTACCTTTTTCTGTTGATGGTTATAAAGTGTACAAAGTCAGAGGATTTGCTTGAATATGCAGGGAACATGTGTAGTGTCACTTTGTGGAGACTGCTTAAGGCCAATGTACTTGTCTACAGTGACGAATCCCGATGGACCGGTACTGAAGTGGGCCGGTCGGATAAGTCACTAGCACCCCCCCCGTTGACAATTCACTAGCGGTGCCGAGGTGGGCCGGTCGAGAGTCCCGGGCTGATTTATTCCCAGAGTGTGTGCACTGATCGGCGTGAGTAATATTGACTTTGAGTATATAGATAAAGCATTTCACCTTCATCTGTTCCCTACAAGACCCTGATCCTAAACAAATATTGCACCCTGACCATGATATATATTTACAGTTTCTATTTCCTTCATGCTATAGAGCTCCATTATTGTCCCAAAATCAAATATTTAATGCCCTGAAAATGCAATAGCGCTTATTTTGTCGCTAAATCATTAAATGTCCAGCTGCTACACTACATAATAATTAGAGCAACATATGGATATTCATCCCCTGCTGGAAATAGTCCTCCCAAAAAGCACAATATCCTAAAATGAAACTATATATCCGGGATCCGTTTTAAAAAATCCTTACAAAGTTGAATCAATGCTGTGTCACATCACTGTCATAGTAGCGCCAAATGGACCTTTATTTTTAATGAACATATTATCGATTAATAGAAAGACGAGAGCTTACAAGTGCAATGTCATATATAGAGAGGCGAAGTCCCGCCCTTCTACTTCCAACCCATGGGACCTTATTTCGGAAAAATTATGTATTGAAGTCAATGGGGAGAGAAAGATTATCTTTCGATCCCGTTTGAATTGTGCCATGAATTACACATATGATGTTTCTCAATCTTAAAAATCATTTCCATGTCAAAAAAGTCAGTTTGTCGTAAAACTGTTGAAATATAAGACTGTGAAAAATACGCAACTAGAAAGACTACAAATCCCAGAGTCGCGTAAGTGATGTCATTAACGTTACTACGGGAGGGACTTCGCCTCTCTATAGATATTTGTGAATATTTTAAAGGAAACTTTCAACATGAACATTCAACATTTTTTGGGAGGAGTACAGATAAAGCTGTTAGAGAGAGGAACACGTTTTAATACCCCAATGCCAGGTGTGATGCCATTTAAACATGACTTACTATTTAATGTCATCAGACCATTTAATAAATAGGCCCACTCTGCACTTAAATGCAACACAAGTCATTGAATCCAACAATTAGTTCACTGGGCAATCATTTAACCGACGGATGATGAATAGTTTTTTCAGCTGGATGGGTTATTCTGTAACCACAATAGCAGCGGTTCATCCAAAGTTAAATGTCTCAACAACTGTAGGATTGATGTTCAATACAATTTGTAAAGACGTTCATAGTCCCTCAAAGGACTCGCTGTAATTATTAGACTCTGACTCTTCCTCCGGTGCTGCCATGACATCAGGATGTGTCTACCTTTTATCGGCAATGTATTTGAGGTAATAAGCAATTAGTTTCCACAACATTACAATTATACAGACAACTTTGTACACACGATTTCAACTATTCAATTTAAATTCCCATTTTGGAATCACCAATGTATGTCTTTGTTTTCTGCAATTGTTTCAATAATCTTTGTTAGGCAGATATTTAATTTGATAGTGTTTGTTAATGCAGTCTCCACAGTACCAGTGTTGCAATCTTCAGATGTCAGACCCACATAAAAAGGATATTACAGATGTTTTCAATGACTTCTCTGAAATCATTGTATTACTTATAGTAGATAGCAACTTAGGAGAAAGGCTCAGAAACTGAGCAATGCATTTCTGTGGCAGTGGACCGTTTTCAACTCCATTTCAAACTATCCAAAGTTAGACTTAATTTTAAGGCCAAAATAGCCTGCAAAGGAAACTCATTTTAGTGACTTGTAACCATGATCTCATTCCCTGAGCTCATGGCCAGAGGAGAGTATTGGAATAGAGTGGTAAATGGAGAGCCTAACCTTCAGATAAACCTCTTTAAATCCAACCAAAACCAATCCAGTCTGTCGATCTCTCACACCATAACATCACTCATGAAAAGGAACCCCAAGACACTTGAATTTACTCAATTGGGATAGCAACTCAGTCTCAACCAGCATGAGGCATTCACCCTTTTTCTGGCAAGGTACCATGAACTTATCTTAGCCTTCACCCTCTGCTGCAAATCACTGCTGGAGGTATCGGTCCAATGAAGCAAGAAAACTACATGCTCGGCAAAAAGCAGAGGAGCAAAACCAGTAAAAGCCAGTGGGAAAAACACTCTCAGCTGTCTTGTTTAAAAGATGGGTGCCACTTTCTGCAAGTCTAGAGTCAGTGTCTGTTAAGTGGCAGCTGAAAAATCACCTCTTTATGACCAACAAACCCTGAAGTAACCTTAACTGGGATTACAAACCAAATATAAGCAGTTTGTATAGACTGGAAAGTCATCTGTAACATACTCAGCACTGGACGTGAAGACTTGGCAGTTAATTTCATGGCAGTGCTAGATATTAATACGCCACATTTGTGACAGTTTCATTGTAATCCCACACACACACGGTGGTGTGTGACTGTGGTGAGTGGTGTTTATTCATATAGCACAAAACAGTCGGCCAAAAGAAGGAGGAACTTGGTGTTTTCAGTTGAGACATTGACTCAGAAGGGAATCACGAGTACCAAACTATGACGTAGGGATTTCTACTCTGGACAAAAACAACAAAAATCAGTCAACTGGAGAAAGTAACCAACGTCTCCCCACTACGACGGACAGTTTTGGAAACCTTTGTGATCATGTTTGGCTTTCAGTCAGCTGGTTGAGTTGTCTGGAGCCAGCATGCATCTGCAGCAAATCAATAGTCAGATGAGTTGAACATGCGAGGGTCACCGAGTCCGTTCATGTGTTCATTCAACACTGCCTCCAGAAGTCAAAACAGCAGTAAATACTTGTGAAGTAACTAAGAATTTAGGCATGTTTAGAAACTGTCAGCCTTTTATAACATATATAAATAGTAAAGTTGTTAAAATGATATAACAAATACAGAGTGTCCAAGTGAGACAGAGTTTTATGCTTTAAGGTTCATTATATTTGACTGCTCAATGGTGAAATTGGCAGTAATTAGAAATAGAAACAGTCGTATTACTCAGCTGTGTAATGATGGATAGAAAGGACAATTCAGTTGTAAAAAATAAGCACAAACAGACTTAAAAACTATTCAAAAAAAAGAAACTATTATGCTTTTCTTCTTTCCTTACACTTAAAACGACAGTTACTGTATGTTTAACATTTAAGATTAGTATCTGACTCCCCCACAAGATAATACAATCTTAACATCATATGTCTTCCCCGCAGTGTTGCATGACACGGGATAAAATAAAAATAAATACATTTTCTTTCTGGTCCAGTTAAGTGACCATTGAGAAGGTCTCTTGGGGTCCTCTTTGTACTCATTAGCGGAGATGGCAAAAGTACACACATCCTTTACTCGAGTAGAAGTACAGATACTCATGTTTAAAAATACTCTGGTGAAAGTAGAAGTACTGACTAAACTTATTTTCTCAAGTAAAAGTAAAGAGGCTTTGAAATGTACTTCAGTAAAAAGTACCCATAACTACCAGCAGTTTTAAAGAGTACCTGACCTTCCTTTATATTAATAGAACAATAATGTCATTGTTAGCTAATGAATGTTTCCATGCTGAACAACGGCAACATGACAACGTTTTCATTGGTCCCTCTTCTTTAGAGAAGACCAGGAAATGATGGATACACGGATCGTGTTCAAATCAATAGGCACGCAATGACTCTAAAGAATAATGATCACGCACCAAACACACATTCAGACTAAAGTAACCAGCTGTTTGGAAACTGTAAGAAGTAGAAAGTTGTCAGAAAAATAAGTAGTGGAGTAAAGTACTGAAACCAGAAACATGTACTTAAGTACAGTAACAAAGTATTTGTACTCCACTACTTCCCACCTCTGCTCATTGGTTATATTTAAGAGTGTTAAACTGTGATGTGTGAGAGCAGAGTATCTGATACTTCCCTGATCCTCCTCCAACAGTGCTAACCCTGAACTAAACTTTGTTTCTACTGTAACGTTTTAAGAATAGCACAAGCACCATGCCTGTTAAGGCCAGCTTGTTAAAAGGGATTTAATGTGCACTTCACACAGGAACCTGTTTCTATTTAAACCTTCACACATCTGATGCTAACTTTTCTTAGAGGTATCTTTGTGTCTTCTGCCCTTTGAACTGTCTGTCTGTTAGGCCTTGTATAGCATTTTGTCTTTCAACAACCTTAAAGGTCCCCTATCATACTGTTTTCCATCAATATATTATAGCTCTCAGATATATACAGAACATGTATCTGAAGTGTTTGGCTCCAAACACCAAACAGATCATTGCAGCATTACCCATAATCCCCTCTGTTTCAGCCCTGTTTCAAAAGTGCTGATTCTCTGTCTGTTACTTTAGATGAAAAATAAGGAGCCCCTCCCCACGCCCCTCTGAGAGAGATTTGGTTACAAAGAACACAATAGGCGCTTTCACACTGCGGTACTTTTCCCACAAAGGTTCATGTGAACTATTTAGTTCTCATGAACTAAGTACAGTTCGCGTTCGCGTTCACACTGGAAAAAGTCCCTGGGGGAGGATTAGGCAAATGAAGCCGCTGACGTCACTTGTTCTTCTTCTGCTTTGGGCTTACTGGCAGGCCGCAAACCACTTCACGGCGTATGCCACCCGGAGTCCCCGGCCGGAAGTCCCCGGAGTTAGGGACTGGCTTCAGTAGAAGCTGCTGGGACTCCCAGCAGCTTCTTCTGAAGCCTTCCGAGTAAATCGCCAGAACGCCGACACCTCCTCATCTCCACCACTCCCATGTTTTATTTTGTGTTGCCATAAATTAGTCTCTCTGCGTTTCTGCGCTGGGCTAATGCTAATGCTAATAATGCTAATGCGAGGATAATAAAATGGCGGCTTCACAAAACTTTTTGGGAGTTTTACGGGGCGTGGTTTGCAATCCTTCCAGCCAATCAGAAATATAGCTCTTTTCTCACAAAAGAGCCGTTCGAAAGTCCCTGCTCTCTAGCAGGGACTTTCGAGGGGGTAAAAAGGTTCACATGAACTAATTTTAGTACCGGCTCTTTTTGGTGTGAACGCGATAAAAGAGTTCACATGAACTAAGTTCTCATGAACCTTTGTGGGAAAAGTACCGCAGTGTGAAAGCGCCTAATGGTGCTCTAGGAGGAGATTCAGGTGATAAAGGGGGGGGGGGGGGGGGGGGGGTAGGGCTGCACGATATATCGTGTCGTGACGATAATCGCGATATGCGCATGCTCTCATGTCAGGGGTACTTGGGTGAGTGACATGCAGGCTCTGCATGCACAGCAAACCACCAATCACAATCAAATCTCCAAAGCAAACGGACCCAGTGATTAAAGGTAAAAACACTGAATAAAGTAGTTTCATGTGTTTCTCCAGGGCAGTTCGGCGCTGCTAACCGAGCTAGCTCAGCTTGTTGCTCTGATAACTTAAGATCCAGACGTCCGTGACTACAATCCTTCATCCGGTTAAATATAGTTTTAAAAAATACCAATTGTATAGCATTAAAGTTCAAGAAAAAAAAACGGTCTTTTCTTCAATTCCTGTATGTTTTCATATCGCAGGGGAAAAAAATCGCAATGTCAGTTATTTCCAATATCGTGCAGCCCTAGGGGGGGGGGGGTTACCTTGGTTGCTGATTGGCTAATGGTTACACAAGCCAAAACATCGTTATGACATCATAAAGTGGCCAAAATCTGATCAGGTTTTTATAGAAATGGATCAGGACAAAAAGAGAGACTCTTTGTTCCTGAAACGTTCAGAGTCTCTTTCCACAGAGGGGACACATGGTGATGTAGAAAAGACGTGAACAAGTGGATTTTGCATAATAGGTGATCTTTAAAGCAAGTAGAAATATTGCTTTTTTTTTTATATATAGATGTCGTGTCGTCTGAACCCAATTAGGCTTTTGTTGCTGGCGATTTCTAACTTTTGAACGGCAGTTTGTGTTGCTCACTGAATCATGGAGAGCTACTGATGTCAGACATTTCAGAGGAAACGGGTGCCAGCCAGAATCCAATATCCAATTCAAAAGCTGCACACATTAAATAAGACATCTGGCTTTCAACACACCTAATTAAAGTCTAACAAGTCTCTCTTCTTATAACAAGTTCATATGAAATGCTAATATTTGCAGAGAGTTTGTGGAACTAACCTTGACATTAAAAGGTGATTAGCATTAAAGCTGCAGCTCTCTGTGAATCAGCAGCGTGTATCAAAGGAGTCATGGTTAACCTTTATGGCTGAATGTGGTTTCCTTTACTAAAGAAACAGGAAGCTGAATTCAGCGTCTTCATTCATATTTTACCATCTTTTCTTTGGCTTTCTAAGTTCTCTGCTGGGACTGAAGTAACACATGACTCCTTTTAGCCATCGGCTGACGAATGACTCCGGTAAAGTAAAGATCAAACATGAGGAATTAGGTTTTTAAATGTTAAAGTCCTAAGGGCGTAATTGACTGAATGTTCCAGACAGAAAAAGGTTTAGTAAAGGTGTGACGAAACATAATGAGTGGCCAGTCTCAGAGAGAAATGAAGAGAGAAACACGGGGGTTTAAAAGGTGCAAAATGACTGCATGGAGTTTCCCTCTCACACAGGAAGCTTGTTCGGTTGTGGTTTCCAGAGACCAGAAAGATACTATGACTAAAAAAGGTAAATCAAACAATTGAGCACCGGAGTTTCTTTTTAAGAATACAAAATGTTTAAATTGCAACTTGTCCATCAAAAAGTACATCTCCTTGTTTGAGTAAAGTCAGTTACAAGATCTTTTAGGAAATGTTTGAACTTATTTTTTCTTTTTAGTCGAATGAGTCCTGTACATTTTTGATCTTTTCCTAAAAACATATAGAGTTGAAAGCACCTTTGAGTCACATTATGTACCCAGCAGATCTTTATTTGTATGACTGTTCGGGTAATAACTCACTTTTGTTTCCTCTTCCAAATAACACCGACCTGGGGCTTTTCTTTTAGCCAGTCTTCTTACCTATCAGCATGTGTTTCCTGCCCATTATGACAAACAAGAATTACATCATTTGAAATACATGTTTTCTTAAATTCAGCCCAAGTCCATCACATACCTTTAAAGGTCCCACGTCATGGCCATTTCTACTGATCATAATTGCATTGTTGAGGTATACTAGAATAGATTTATAAGGTGCAATTTTCCAAACTCCAAAGATGTGTGTATTCACTCTGTCCTAAACGGCTTGTTAGAGCTCCGACCCCCCCCCTCCCTGTGAGCCCAGTGTGCTGTGATTGGTCGGGACGTTGCGAGGCTCGCTGCTCAGTGAGCTGGCTTACTGGTGTGGTTCCGAGTCGGCGATACAGCGCGAAACTCATCCTGAGCACACAAACACTCACAGCCGAAGTCAAAACAATAAGTGTGGCTTGATATTGAGAAAGAAAAGGTTTATAAACGCTGTGAGAATGGGTCTGCAGAGAGCATTTCTCCGCCATCCCAACTCGTCTATTACCAACCAGGGAGCTCTATGCAAGTCAATGGGACTCCCTGTTGGTTGAAAATGTACGCTAAAGACCCCCCACTGCGTTTGATAGTGACGGCAAGGGATCCTGGTGTGTGAGGAGCTCCGCGGATTGGTCCATATTGGTTCCGGGAACCGCATGACGTTACAGGTTCCCGGAAGAAACAAATGGAAAAAGAGAAATCCCCAACGAGGCGTTCTGGGGCAGCACAGACAGGTCTTCTCTGTGTTAGAGTTTTACTCGCTACAGGGTGCACTTTGAGGGTTTGTGACTCTGCAGACCGTTTACATGCAGAAAAACCTTCATAACACACAAGGGCACGGGAAAAGCATGACATGGGACCTTTAAACAATTATAGGACGTGTTGAAGAACATACTTTAAAGTAGATCATATAAAACATGTGGGCCAACTCTGATGACTGGGTAACTCTATAAACTATTCTTTATTTTATTATTTAGAGGATTTGTCTCCTCTTAAGCTTGATAAGTGAAACTCTCTGAAGGCTGCAAACAATTTGATGCCATTTTAAGCTGGCCTGGTTCTAATACAACATCTGACTAGAGTATGTAGTGTGTCGATGTGTGTCGATGTGTGTCGATGTGTTTGTGATAGTTAGCATAGTCTGTATCTGGAATAAAAAGAATACAAACAATCTTTGAAGTTCAGATGATTCAGGTCCAGGTCTGACTGCTGCGCTGCATCTGGCCGCTGTTGGACACAGCATGGCTGACAGATTGCCATCCATATGTTGATGTGAAGATAAGTAGGATTATTTTTCAAGTTTGCCTTAAACTATGTGACACTGGCTGTATCGTGTACTCATCTGGAATAAGATAGCTTGTCTGCATCTGATTTAGATCCTTTTAAAGACAGTACTTCTTTAGTTTTCTGGGTACTTTAAATTAGATTGCACCTTCCTGTTCACTTGTTTACTTTCCTGGCACTAGGTATATTTGGTTTTTGCACTTCATAAATTCATCTTTATTGTCTATATTTATACACATTTCTTTATTTCTACTTAATACTGAAACTCTGCAGAACACGTTCCCTCCGGACATTTCATCTCTAAATCTTATCACTTTTCTTCAGGAGTTTGTTTTTGGATCAGCTCCTGGAGACCCGTTCTTAAACAACTATAATGTCTAAAAGTGATTTAGTCAAGGGATTCCTATGAGCCGTCTACTCAAAGCAAGCTCAGTACAAACGTATTCTTTTAAAACGTTGAACCCTGTGATTGAGGCTGAGTCACAGCCGATACATCACCCCAAGAACACGCTCCAACTTTGCGTTTCCTGTTCCAAATATGGCCGCCAGATTTCCAAAACACGCAGTGAAACAAAAAGCGTTTCACAGTCCGTTTTGCTTTTCCAAAAGTATAAACAGTGTAACCTTGGCGGTGCGATGCTGCAGCAGGAACAATGTATCTGAACTTGAATGCAGAAGAAAGGAGGACAGAGTGAGCGCCAGAAGAAAGAGAAACCAGGGTCAAATAGCAGCCAAAGCCTCACAATACATTTATCATGAACGACTAAAAGCATGTTCTGCGATATTAAAGATTATTGCACCTGCCCAGACTTAATGTCGTATTCCAATAAGCAGACAATCGACAACAAAAAACGACGGAGAGCTTTCAGAGCCATCAGATTCTGTTCCATCTGTTTCTGAGAATTTCCTTATGACTTTTTAAAAGAAAACTCCTCAAGATTTATGTTTGATATGCAACTCTCTGGTAATTAAATACAGGAGATGTTGGCGCTGTCCTGCTGAGCAAATCACTGCAAACCCAGAAAATACAACACAGATCATTAAAGTCGAGGCGTTTTCTTATTCAACCATTGTGTGTAGCAGAGGGATGAGACAAACCTGAGAGACTGAAACAATGTCAGATTTAAATAGTTCTGTTTTCGACTTTAAAGTGATCATATTTAACACACATGTTGTGCTTTTGATCAAAGAGACCAAGTCAAATAACTGTAAAATATAAAAATATTAGTACAAAATGTTGCCCGTGTATTAAATGCTCGTGTTCATCTGACTTTTTGTCCCATTTACGAACTCATTTAGGAGTTGAAGCACAGTTGAACTTAGAGTTTAGAGTGTTATACTGACTTGGCGTCCACGATGTCGTACAGGTTCTTGAGGAACTCTGAGTCGAGGTGGTTGTGCTCTCCGGTCAGCGTGTGGAAGTAAACCATCACATACTCCTTCACTGTGATGTGGTCCATCACGTGGATGAAGTACAGCAGCGCCTGCACGCACAGTGAATCAGTTACAGTCTAATAAGGTGCAGTGGATTCTATACACGTCTATACATATTCTTTCACAGTTTTATATCAATATTAATTGTATAATGTACAATGTGTGTGTTAGAGTGTGTGTGTTTGATCTGTTGATATTGTGTGTGTCCTCAGGAGTAGACTTGTGTGGCAATAATATGATGTGAAATTTCCATATTTTTTGAATAATTGGTTTTTAGTTCAAGTAATACCATTGTTGGTAGATGGAGGTTAATGTATCATAACTGAAGTTTAGAAAAATATTTGTATTTGTAATCTACACACATTTGTGCACACAAAAGCAGATGCAGCTTGCACAGAACCATAAGCACATGTGAACACACACACACACCTTTTCGATGTCGATCAGAGTCACCGGGATGTTCCGTCCAACCAGAATCATCACCGTCCGGCCACACAAGTCCACCCCTGAGGAACACACACACACACACACACACACACACACACACACACACACACACACACACACACACACACACACACACACACACACACACACACACACACACACACACACACACACACACACACACACACACACACACACACACACACACACACACACACACACACACACACACACACACACACACACACACACACACACACACACACACACACACACACACACACACACACACACACTACATTTTGTCCAACCATCTGCCCAAAACAAAAACTTGTGTTGCACATTTCCTGATGTGTGTAAGACAAAATACAAAGTAACAATTAGTTGCAGCCTCTTTTCACTTTCCATGACGTGATGAAACAGTTCCTCGTGATCTCAGTTTGTGGTGTATTTCCTGATATTAGTAATATTATTAATGGTCAAATCCTTTCGACAGGCTGTAAAACTTCTGAGAAAAGAGCTTGGAGCTCACTCTGCCTCTCCAGCTCTTGGTTTCCTGCCTCTCCTCTCAAATGAAAGCCTGTCCCCTCGGGGAGACTGAGGGTCTGCAGCAGCCTGATCACATGTGTCTCTGATGAGGGCCTTGATGTTGTGTTAGAACTCTGTGGTGCATTTGAGTTTCTTCTGAGGGCTGTGTTTTGTTTAAACATTCATGTTATGTGTACTTCTGAGTCAGTGTGTTACTGTTTTTACCTCCACCAACAAGTTATTCTTCAGTTTGGTGTAATTGTGTTGCTTTGATTGTCTGAAAAGCATGATCGTTATGTTTTTTTGGATTTTTTTATAAATTGATTGCATCTGTTTCGTGCCATTTCAATAAGCTTAATTTTTACATGTGTAAGCAGTGACTAGGTTTTTTCAAATGTTAACGTAAATGAACCATCTAACTTAAAGATTTATATTTACTCTTTGTAAACTTTACCTTCCTCACCAAACAGCATCCTCGTAACACTTGTCTGAACTCTAGAGCTCTCTGGATCATTCATTTTATTTTTCTAAAGTATTGTTAAGATTTAACCAGATAAATATGGGATTATCAAGTTCATTTGGGGTTTGCACATGTCCCTGTTTTAAGAAAACTGGTTCCACAAGGTAATGCAAGTTTTAAAATGCCTTGTAACCAAAACAGATGGCGTTGGGGCAAAACTGTAATACAACACTGCCTCCTACTGGTAATGAGATGTAACTGCACCTGATAACAGCTGAGCAAAGGGAGATGTTGCATTTCATTCACTGGAATTAAATCTGGGATAATCGTACCTCACCAGTGTTGTGTTCAATGAGGTGGAAGAAAATCAAAACACCAACATGCACATGAACACACATGCAGGCAGTCTGGCACAAAACACACTTCTAAACATCTCCTTTTGCTTCTGTTTCGTTTTTTACAATTATATTTCACAGGTGACAGAATTACACGACAAAATGAAGGTTTCAATTCACAACTTTTCTCTCTCCCTGCCCCTCAAACATATGATCACATACCGGTTTGATATAAAGCTTTCAGAGCAGCGATGTCAGACAGATCCTCCGCTCTCGCCCGACACAGCCAGCGGTTGTAACTGCAGGTGAGGAAGACACGGAGAAGTGATCTTAATGTATTGTATAACATCACAAATGCTAGTTTTCGTGAGACACACAAACTGAACACAACTGAGACCTAAAGACACGCATGTTATTATATGAGATGTTGCGTTTTCGACCCAGTAGGTTCCAATTATTTAATAATTGTGTTTATGACTCTTACTTTCTCTGGTGCTGTTTCTGCAGGGCCACGTCCGACATCTGGCCCTGAAGGATCTGTTTCCTCTGTTTGTCCACGTCCCCCTCCATCCGGGCGAAAGCGTGAGTCCCCACCTGACCCAGATCTGAGTCCAGACTCTCCTCTTCCGAATCATCTGCACAAACAAGTAAAGAAAAAATGACAACAACAAGTCATGATGTAAGTGAAAGCTTACACAATGGCTTTGATCATATCAGAGGCTTATATTGCAGCATGATTCATAAAACACAAGGAACAAACACTCACACATATTAAACCCTGAGTTTCTCAGAACACCACCACTCAATTATCTTCATTTAATGTGAGGCTATTTACCCCAAAGAGATCTACTGTGTGCTTGAATTTGTGTTCAGTTGTAAAGCTGACTCATTCATTTATTTGGTTATACTTGCTTTGTCTGTATTACCTTTCATTCAGCTGATGCTTTTATCCAAAGGGTACAAACTCAAACAAATAGAGAATCCGGCAGGTCAAACTAGTGTACTACTGCACTTGCTTAAAAAAAGCCAGATGCTACATACAGAAGTGCAATTATATAATATTTGATTATGTGCCAAGCACAAATATGTTTTTTCTATGATCGTAACGTATCTGAAAGCATGACTGATGTATTTCCGTGTGTTTGTAAAAACGTTGAGGTCATAGACTCAAAGACTGTCTGTTTCTGCTTGTTTTTCTAAAACCACATGTAGTCATGCACATGTCCATGCATTTCATCTGCATCCAAACAGGCATGTGTGTCTGTCAGTGTGTTTACATCAGCCTGTTGTTGTTGTTGGGTTTGACTCACAGGCAGCTGCTTGCTTCGGATCGTCACCCCAAAACCACATCTCACCACATTTGAAGCAGACGTTCGCACTGGAGGTCTATGAAGGCAACAGGCTCCACGCCGACACCACAAATACCCACTAAAACCTGGCCTGGTGTTACATTTAAAACCCTTTTCACCCCAAAGAAACAACATTTTGACCGAGATCAAGAAAAAGCTGAGGTTGGTCAACTAAAGAGGTCATACAAAATACAGTTTATAAAAGTGCTTAAGACCGTAAAATGGGATTTGAACTGAAGGTGCCTATAGTAATAATGTTTTGTGTCTACCGTTTAGTTAAGCTAGATAAGTGATTTAAAAAGGAAAAACACCTCAAAAGGCTGCGAACAACAGCTCTAGCCTTACTACTTTTTTAAAGATTTTATTTACATATTTTACAAACAACTTTTCATAAAACATCATCAAAAACATCAACTGTCTTGTTTAAATCACCCTAAATGAGACTGAAAAGGACTCAGGTTTTAAACGCTCTGAAAGCAAAATCACAAAGTCTATTTTACTGACTTTATTTTTGTTTCATTTGTTCCTTTTACTTTGTCACTTTTCACTTTAAGCAGTTGGATGCTATATTCATTCACATATTTCCAGGCACTTTAATTAATTCCATATCCTCCACCAAACAAGACTCAAAGCTCACTTATTTGTTCACTTGGTTGAATCTGTTACCGTGTTTTTCTGTTTTCAGACAAACAAAATCACTGCTCTTGTTGCAGAATAAACAAAGAGCAGAAGGATAGAGACGCAGAACAAACACCTGATCCGTGTTAGTCAGGCCTGCTGGTCTCTTTGTAATATGCAGATGAGCCTCTGTGGAAAACCTGAAGGGCTCCAGATGTTTCACTGACCTCACAAAATAATGTACTGCTCTTTCATGTCCTTTGACTGAACTCTGACCAGTCTGTGATTCAAACACATTGTCCTTATCAGAACTGAATTCTTATCCAGATCTTAATATTTGGATTTTATTTTTGACTAATCGACTGTGACCTCATCCAATGTCCGGATGCCTAAATGGTCGACTGACTGTGCAGTTTATTGAAAGCTGACAAACTGACTTACAGTATGGTAAAAAAGGTAGATAGTTAAATAGTTGAATGACTGATTTTTTTTGGTTAATCCAAAACACTGGTTGCGTTCCAATAGTCCATTTAGCTTAGGAACCTTCCTAACGGAGTGAAATGACCCGGAAGTCCCTCAGTGGCAGCCATGATAAGTGCCGTTCCAATTCTCTAGATGAAAGGAAAGGAGGTTTCAAACTTCCTTTATAACCTCCTTTAGCTTAGGAACCACTGGACCTCCCTAACCGAAAGGAGAGGAGAAAATGCTGCCCCACAATGCATTGCAGCCGCAGCATTTGCCGTCACTCAACAGTCGGCCGTTCACGGAAACAACCGATTATGACCAAGAAATTATATCATGAAAGTTACGGTGCTTATTAAGCATTTTAAAACGTATGTGGTAAGTTGCCAAAGTGCTTTTTTCTGAACGTTCGTCAGTATTATAATCAAAAAGAGAAATATGAACGTTAGTTTTTTACTGAAATGATCAAATAAAGTCAACATTTCACAGTCTTTACTGAGCTGTGTGGGGTTTGTTCAACTTTTAAAAGATGTTTGAATGGTGATATACACAGTGATAGATGTTAAGGACTAACGTTTATAATAAATACATTTGTATTGATTTTAAGATCTTTAGTTCACCAATCATACGTATTGGGATCATTTGTATTAATGTGGACCGGAGGGCGATGGTGACGAGCATAAGTTTCACTTTCCTTTTTTATTTCAATTCCAACTTTGGTCATGAAGAATATGTTTCTCTGTTGTCCACGTTCATAAAGCATAACACAACAGCACCAGAGCACGGTGCAGAGACTCTAGATGAGTTTACAGTAGTCCCTCGTTCTTATTGAACATCCATGTTGTAGTCCGCTATAGAAAACTGTAGTTTCCATGGTTTCCCCACAGCAGCAGACGCACATTCATGACGTCCGCTGGCGCATCATAAACACGTCAGATAGTGAAAGTGCAGTCGGATTCTCTAAAGTACCGCGGTCTCTTCTCCTAAGTCCTTTTGAATTCTCCTATCCACTATCCCTTAACCCCGTGACGTTTCACTCAGAGGTCAAGGAATAGGAGATAGGAACTGATTTTTGGATTATCGGAACGCAACCACTGAGTCAACCCTGTGCTCATTTAAAAAAGGCACGGACACACCAGGCCGATTAGCGGCGTCGGTGAGCGTCAGGCCGACGATGAGCGTCGACACGCCCTACTCAGATTGGTGTGTCCCGCACCGTCGGGTCTTTTCAGCCGGGCCAAAGGCAGTCGGCAAAATAAATCACTCTGATTGGCTGTTCAGCTAGCGAATCAGTGCATGAGAAGCGAAACGGAAGTGAGGGACCCAAACAAACTATTAAGAAGGCAGATCTGAGATTTCATCGAACTCCAGCTCTCGACTCAGGTTCGGGAAAGCCCCGTGAGCTTCTCGCTGTAGAGTGAAAACAGAACGCACACGCTATTTGTTGTTTGTTTATATCAAGCAATCTGTTCTTCTTCTCTCGCAGTCCTGTCTTCCGGTTGTTGGCCCGATCTTTGAATGACGAATACACACTACCGCCCCGCCCTGCTGGTCAGGAGAGTTATTGCCACTCACGCATGCGCAGTTCGTAGTGTTTCTTGGACAGTCGGGGTCCGACAGTCGGGGTCTGTCTGTGTCAGTTCTTTGTTGTCTGATTGGTGTGTCCGGGCCCTTTAGGTTTATATTTGTATTTTGTGCATCTGTGACATGATTTTAATGTTCAAAAAAGCTCTCTATTTGTCTCATACTGCCTATTTTCACCCTCTGTCTGAAACCAGAGCCCAGTCTGCCTTCTGATTGGTTAGTGGCTGGCTCACCGGCTAATAATACGCTGTGCTCTATTCTGCCAACTCAATTTCTCTGACACAAGTGAGAACTTTGATTCCAAATTCAACATCAACCCTTGAATAAAAAAAAAGACGTCTCCTCTTACTCATGAGAGCCAATCACATTACGCGTCCTCTCTGATGAAGCATGTTTCTTTACCTTCCAGGGTGCCGGGTTTCTCTGCGATGCGGATCTGTCTCTCGGGGACGACGGGTTCCCCCTTAGAGTTGCCGATGTCAGCGGGGATGAGAGGAAGGCTGGCTCGCTCCTCTTCCTCAGAGCGAGGGAAAGTAAAGTGGCAGCAACTTCCTGAACACCGGCTAAAGAACACACAAACTATTAACAGAAATGCCCACAAAGATACACTTCATCTTCAGGACAAAGTCGTCCATGTTACCAGATGTATTCCTCATCCTCCTACAGCTCTGTATTTACAATTTTCACCTTCATCCTCCATGTTTGGACACATTTGTTACCTAACGTGGAAGATGGATCTCAATATCCAGGGATCTAGCTGTGGTTACGAGGTTCTGTGAGCCACCGTGTGAATATGGTATCGGCAAATCTACTACAGAACAAGGAAGACGGATCTTAAATAAGAGGAACATGTGGGTTCAGTTTCTCGTGAAACCCAGCATCCAACTCTCTGATCGAGCTTTGAGACAAATGAAAGGTGTCAGTATGCTTCCAGGGCCTGACAGATGATGGAAGAGTGTCTGAACCACCTCCTGCTACATTTTCTGTACCTCTCCAAAACCAGGCACTTTCAGCTCTTTCCATGTATGCAGGGATTGGCTAGGTGTTTAAAGCTGAGAATATCAAAAGGGTTTGAACTTCGAGCGCCCTGTTTCTATCACTCTTCATCTGGACGATGAGAAAAACAGCATGAATGCTTTAGAGCAGTGGTTCCCAACCTGGGGGGCGCGCCCCCCTTAGGGGGGCGCCAAAGATCGCAGGGGGGGGCGCCAGGCCTCAGATGATTTGAGGCCAAATATCATATTTATCGTATTTTTTTTACATATAATTGTAAAGCAATACATGATTGTCACTAAAAGCCTTGTCTCTACATTACAATAAAATATAAAAAATAATTGACTAATTAATTTTAATAAAAATTCAAGTTAGTATTAAAGGCATAAAAAGACAGAAATGTATAATTATTTCTTTAATATAAATGTTTATTCTGCCCATAAAGTGTCCAAACCAGGCTTGTCTGGATACTAAAACATAGTCATTGTCCATGCCGGTTTCAGTTGGATTATTTGTCACAGTTGCTCCGATCAGATCGGTCTCCTCCATTTTGTAGATTATTTACGACTTTTGAATCCACATAAACACATCGGCAACATCCGGCTTACTTTGAGCATGTGTTTTAAACAGTTTAATCCCTTTGTGAATTGTTTCCACTTGCGCCGTCCTTTCATTTTTTCATACAGCGGGAATCCAAATTAATTAATCCTGAGTCCAATAACCATCAAAGTCACTCCAATAGTGCTCCTTCATTACGCTTTCTTCCTCCTTTAACAAAATACTTCACATCATTTCTTTCAGCTTTTTATCCTCTGTAAGTGCGGCCATCAGCAACAGCTTTAAACATGGTTTGATGAGTAAGTTGGGCGATTGTACAAATATATCGGCTCCCTTTAATTGGCTTAGTACATTGCAAATTCATTTGGTGTTTTTGTTATATTTTTTTCCAACTTCATGGTCTGCATGTGAAGAATGATTGAGCAGCTGCTCAGCAGAGAGGGAGAGACAGAAAGGAACAAAAGCGTGTGGAGCCTCAATATTTTCACATTTATTTATTATGTATTATTATTTCGAGCTGGTGATTTCGTTTGGGTGGAATTGTATTTATTTCTGTTGAGGTTGAATGGATATGTTCCACTTCTTAGTTCCCCCATTTTGTGATTATTGTGGTTGTGTTTAGGGAATTGGTGGCAAAGTAAAGTCACCTTACCCTCCTCTGTGTCTGACACTGCGAACACCACCGCCTCCAGTCTGTTCCCATGATTCTCCAGGAACCTGCGCACAGTTCCTACACCACACACACACACACACACACACACACACACAACACACACACACACCACACACAACACACCACACACACACACACACACACACACACACACACACACACACACACACACACAACACACACACACACACACACCACACACACACACACACACACACACACACACACACACACACACACACACACACAACACACACACACACACCACACACACACACACACACACACACACACCACACACACACACACACACACCACACACACACACACACACCACACACACACCACACACACACACACACACACACACACACACACACACACACACCACCACACACCACACCACATAAATACGATTGTAGGACACTTGAATCTAGATCTACTATCCACAACTATAAAATGTCTAAAATGTATCTTGGTCACAAGTTCCAAATGTCTCCGAATGGCAGGTTTCTAAACATATTTTTCAATATTTTTTGCACTTTTAGTGGTATTAAGTATTAGCGTAACGCGACACCTTGACCTTTCTGTTAAGACAATACATCAAGAAAATACATAATTTAGACAGTATATTCATTCATCAAATACATCATAACCCATCAATAGACCAGCAAAAACTTTTAAAACTGTCCAAAATAATACCACATATAATTTGTTTGTAGTATTTGCTAAACTCCAGTCTTGCAGTGCGTCCTCTCATCAATGTTCAGTTTAAGGTAATTGGACCTGTAATGAGTAGGTTTGCTGTAACATGGATGTTTAAGATGTTTCCTTTATCACATGATCATGTTATCATGTGATATTCGCTCTTCTTTTTCTGACTCACCTGTACTCACCGCTGGGGTCACCAGACCCTCCTTCCACCAACACACTAACCTCCTTTTCCCCTCTCTCTCCAAGTGAGGTTCTTACCCTCATTACCTCTGCCCGCCCTACCACCTGTCCTCTGGACCCTATCCCTTCAAACCTCCTTCAGACTATCGCTCCTGATATTCTACGGTTTCTCACCCATTCATCAACACTTCTCTAACTTCTGGTCACTTTCCAAACAGTCTCAAGGAGGCAAGAGTAAACCCTCTCCTAAAGAAACCCACTCTCAACCCGTCTGATGTTATAAACTACAGGCCTGTCTCTCTACTCCCGTTCCTGTCTAAAACACTTGAACGCGCTGTCTTTAAAACAACTCTCCTGTTATCTCCATCAGAACAACCTTCTGGATCCGCACCAGTCTGGTTTCAAGGCAAGGTCACCTCCACAGAAAACTGCTCTCATTGCTGTCACGGAGGAACTGCACACTGCCAAAACTGCAACCCTCTCCTCTGTCATCATCCTGTTGGACCTGTCTGCTGCATTCAACACGGTGAATCATCAGATCCTCCTTCGCACTCTCCAAAAACTTGGAGTTTCAGGCTCTGCACTTTCCCTCCTCACCTCATACCTGAAAGACCGTACCTACAGGGTGACTTGGAGAGGGTCTGAGTCCGACCCTTGTCAAATTAACTACAGGGGTCCCTCAGGGGCTCTGTTCTTGGTCCCCTCCTCTTCTCCCTGTACACAAACTCGCTCGGATCAGTCATAGCCCGCATGGTTTTTCATACCACTGCTACGCTGACGACACCCAATTAATTTCTGTCCTTTCCCCGCTCAGAGACCCAGGTCGTCGCACGCAATCTCTGCTTGTCTAGCTGACATCTCTCAGTGGATGTCTGCTCACCACCTCAAGCTCAACCTTGACAAGACTGAGCTGCTCTTCCTTCCGGGAAAAGATTGTCCCACTCTTGACCTAGCAATCAACATCGGCACCCTCAGTTGTTTCCCCGACTCAGACTGCAAGGAATCTGGGTGTGACCCTAGATAACAACCTGTCCTTCACTGCAAACATCGCTGCTACAACCCGTACTGCAGATACACGCTTTTACAACATCAGGAAGATAGAACGTCCCCAGCTGACCCAGAAAGCGACGCAGGTTCTGGTCCAGGCTCTCGTCATCTCACGCCTAGACTACTGCAACTCCCTCCTGGCTGGTCTACCTGCATGTTGCCATCCGACCTCTGCAGCTCATCCAGAATGCAGCGGCTCGTCTGGTCTTCAACCTTCCTAAATTTTCCCACCACCACTCCGCTCCTCTCGCTCCCTTCACTGGCTTCCAGTAACTGCTAGAATCCACTTCAAGACACTGGTACTTGCTTACCATGCTGCGAATGGATCTGGCCCTCGTACATCCAGGACATGGTTAAACCGTACACCCCAGCGCGTGCACTACGCTCTGCATCAGCCAAACGATCTCCGCTTGCGCCCTCGCTGCGAGGGGGACCCAAGTTCCCATCGGCAAAAACACGTGGGTTTGCTATCCTGGCTCCAGGATGGTGGAATGAGCTCCCCATTGACATCAGGACGGCAGATAGCTGCACATCTTCCGGCGGCAAACTGAAAACTCATCTCTTTCGACTCCACTTCGAGCGATAGAACTATTAACGAAGCACTTTATATTAATAAAGGACTGCTTACCTAAAGCCAGTTGGAGTAGCACTTGAAATGTTTTTGCTCTATGAAGCCTGATGTACTTATATGATTCTGTTTTCTTCAAGTTGTATTTTGTTGGTCGAACGCACTTATTGTAAGTCGCTTTGTATAAAAGCGTCAGCTAAATGCAATGTAATGTAATGTCAGGCATCATGTGTGCTTAAAGTGAACACCTCTTTAAGGTTGACATAAAGAATTGCAGTGTGTGTTATAATGAAATATGTGTGTGTCTGCCTGTATAATTAGTTGACCTCATTTTGGAGTCCTATGTGTCTTTGGAGGAGCGAGGTTAAGGTTTCGAAGAAGATTATCTGTGAGTAAGTGGGTCAAAAAAATACAGTGATAATGTCTCTTTTTTAACCACGAGATTTGTGTATCTCTCTGTGCCTAACTGGTGAAAAGCTGTGTGTGTGTGTGTGTCTTACTGAAAGCGATGTGTGTAGCGTCCTCCAGTGGGTAACCTCTTTTGGTCGTTGTCACCACACAGAAACCAACAGATGCCATCGACTGCTCTCTGAAGGCGACAACAAAAATAAGAACAACTTCACTTACTGTTCACCACATTGACAGTACGCACCAGGGACTGGGTCAATGGTTTCTCTCTCCACACACACACACACACACACACACACACACACACACACACACACACACACACACACACACACACAACACACACACCACAACACACACACACACACCACACACACACCACACACACACACACACCCACACACACACACACAACACCACACACACACCACACACACACACCACACACCACACACACACACACACACACACACACACACACACACACACACACACCACACCACACACACACACACCAACACACACCACACACACACACACCACACACACACACACACACACCACACACACACCACACACACACACACACACACACTGATAAAAGCACTTCTCCTTTCTCACAAATAATTTGTTAATAGAAGACCATTATCAGGCATTTTGAGGGTCAACATATTTTGTTGTTATTAAATAAAACATTTAACATTAAAGACTTTTTTTCTCCTTTCACAATTCTCAAAACCCATTGATGCAAATATGTAAACTACATTCAGAGCTGACGTATCAAACAAAAAGCCTTAATCATGAAAAACGTCCAACTTCAGAAGCTTTAATTGTATTCTTTACTTCTAAATCACTGCCTATTACACTGCAACAGCTTGAATGAGTTAATATATTTAGCTTAATTTTATTATCCACTCAAAGACAGATGCAACATTCCTATTTCAACTTTTTGAGTTGTTTATTCCTGCTGTCTTTCAAATGAATGTATTTTCGAAAAACTGTGAAGCTGTGTGTCTTTCAATCACATTATTGTTTAGTTGCACCCGTCAGGAACCAATATTGTTTATAAAACGAAATCATAGCGGATGGGAATCAATTCAAATCTAAAAATGTTGTCAACAACTTAAATTGATTTCGTATCATTTCTGTATCACGTTGCTTTGAACCCAGTTGAAAGGGAGCTTATACATGACTCTGATTCATGAACACTGGTCTCAGACGGTTCTTACGCAGCCAGCTGCAGCGTGTTCCTGTAGCAGCTGTACAGAGAGCTCTCCGCCGCCGTCCTGTACTTGGATTTATATTTTGGTCCCACCGTGTGGACGATGTACCGCGCCGCCAGGTTAAAGCCTTTAGTCAGCTTCGCCTCGCCGGTCCGACATCCTGCTCACAAACATGCATGCAAAAGTGTTGGTAAAATACTGAATGTACTCTTCCAGTATCAGAGTAGCACATGATAACAAAGGTATTCCAACTGTAGCTGTGTACATGACAGGATGTCTGATTACCTAGAAGAGCATCAGGACTGTTTTAGGCATATGATAGCTATGTGATTAACATGATGATTCAGCCTCTATGGAGATAGACATACGACAAGCATGCTCATTTCTGACGTGGAGCTAATCTGAACTAAACATTGAAGACTGCTTTCTATTCCTCCATCTTGTGACTGTGTAACTCCCTCTCTTGGATATCAGCACTGCTCAGGAACTAGTTGATGCTCTGTATGTGATGACTACTTCCATTCTTGAGAGGATCAGAAACACATGGATCCTGATTATTGAAGCTCAAGCCGGTGACAAGTGAGATTTTTCTAACAAAAAGAAATCAATGAATGAATGCAGATAAAACTAATTTATAATCACTTTAGTATGAAGCTGATTTAGGTAGAAAGTCTTACAAATCAAAATGTTTATTATTTTCTTATTCACTTACAAGTTCATGTGTGGATGTTCAACTTTTAAAAAGGTTAAAGTTATTCAAATTGCAAGAACATATTTGTTATCGAGCCACGGAGAGATCTTTTTAGTTTTGAAAGCTACATTTAGGAGATATTTGGCTCTTTCATTACATTGCATTACATTGCATTTAGCTGACGCTTTTGTCCAAAGCGACTTACAATAAGTACATTCGACCAGGAAGACACAACCTTGAAGAAAACAGAATCATATAAGTACATCAGGTTTCATAGAGCCAAACATTTCAAGTGCTACTCAACTGGCTTTAGATAAGCCAGTCCTTTATTAGTATAATACTTCACTTTCCAGTGAAATAACACAATCCTATTGGTGTGACTTTTAAGGATTTTATCAGTACTAAGTAGATCAGATTAAAGTTGTTCACAGTGAATCCTGGACATTATCTACAGTTAGAGTTGTTTTTGGAAATGTGATTATGTAACTTTGAATGCTTTGGCCAACAGAAACAGAACTGCTTTCACATATTTGTATTTGTTTGGTAGCAGAAACTTTAAAACATCTCATAACCTCGAGCACATATATATACAGTATACATGTAATTTAAATTAACAGAATGTAAGTGATGACTGTAAATATGTATTTTCAATATAAAACCAGGCGGCTTAAATAAAAAGCTTATATCAAGACAATACGTATCTCTGTTTTTAGACACATGTCTCAATTTGTGATCTGAGAGCTTCACTCTGTATTTCTTTATTTTACGTCACATATTTCATCGCACGTTTTTGCTTTAACTTCTTATGTTTATAGACATATTTAGAAGTATTTTATTTATCATTTGTTAATAAAATAAATCCAAGTATTGTGATTTTGATTGATTCTGATTTACGAGAGCGTCTGTGGAGCATTTCTCAAAGATGGTATTTTGTAGCGATAACAGATTTCATTATTTAAACTAAATTCAGCTGAACATCATGTGCCTGGTTGTGTCTCCAGT